CGTCACAGCGACTATCTTGGGGAACTTCAACAAAGGATTTCTCATTAGTATCTATTGTTCATTCYTCCAACATGGCCGCCGGTCTTTTATCTTTTGAATCTGATGGGAATGATTGAAAACGATCAATACAAGGCATTTCCCCATTGAATGAAATAGCAATATTATATTTTTACATCGTCCCCATTATTGTTCTTATTCATCCACCAAATTACACCAAATTGAACGATCTTTTGTGCGTTAATGTTGAAAAAYCATGACAAAAACATTGAAGAWTCTGACCGAAAGGGAACATGGGAAGCATAGAAATTAAAAGGATATTATTATACTTCACTGCAGTAGATTGCTAGATGAAGTTATACATGAAGCTACTTTAATCTAGAATCGAAAGTCACTCATCTATAAACAGCACCTACAGTTATTCAATATACACTGGAAAAAATCGCGCGCTTTAAAGGTTGTAAATTTGATGTAAATATGATGTAAGTGTCCAAAATTCTGTAAATTTAATTTTGGACACTTACATCATATTTACATCAAATTTACAACCTTTAAAGCGCGTGATTTTTTTCAGTGATAATACCCTATTTTTCGGCTTCTACGTTTTACGATTGTGCATAATATTGTTTATCCACTATTTGCGCATTGAAAATAATTTTCAATAAGAAACTTAAGAATATTTTAGAGCAATGAATTCACCCGAGAGTGTTTTGATTGGAAATTTTATCTTGGTTTTTGAGATGGTGGTGCACTATTAAGTTGAAATTGCCCGGATACATTGAGATGTAAGGCGATTACTATCAGTCGAGGGATCATAGTGGTTTATATGGCACGAGTCAGAGCTGTCCGTAATGTAGAACTGCCCGCAATATCGAGGTTTCTGTAACATAGGGATATCTTTAATATAATAAAGGGTATCCGTAAATTAGAGGTGTCCGGAATACAGAGTTGTCTGTAATAGAGAGGTTTCCGAGAGAATATCTATAAATGTATGGTGATAGACTTTGTTATCGAAGAAAGGTGGTCGTATTGTYGAGGTGTTCATAGTAAAATTAAATATTCTAAAAATACTCATTGTTTTGCTACACGAACGGCAGCCTTTGAATCTGATTCTTCTGCGTCAATGTCCTTAGAAACAAGAGCTGSGACTGAGAAGGYCATTTCTACTTCATATACAGGAAKATAACACTACTTAGTTCCCTTGCAATAGTAGCTGTTCACGTCTGAACCAGGATTACGATAATTGGTGGTCGGGATTATAGATAACGTGAAACGGGCGCCATATTGGATTCATGATTAAAAATACCAAAAACTTCAATATTGTGTATAAACAGGACGGAAGGATTAATGAAAATAAATAAGTACATGGAAGGAAAATCCGTCAATAGGAAATGGACGAGGAAAATGGAAGGGATGTAGATGGGAAATACAAGAAATACAACGGTTAAATTGAAAAGAAATTGTCATAATAGAATCATTGATATTCATTATACAAAGACAAAAGAATTGATTATCACAAATGTAAGGAGAAGAAGAAGAAGAATACTACAATATAAAGATACTAGAGCGAAGTCATTAAACCCGTGAAACAACACTTGACTCTTAAAGTGTGATAGTCAAATAGACACAAGAAAACTATGCAATTAGAGCGTACTTAGGTGTATTAGTGTAATATCTATTTCAAGGGTTTATTATTTCACTTAAGTAATTTTTAAAAACACGGAAAACACGAATAACGTGCATAGTTAAGAGCAATAAAGTACAGTACGAAAATAGCAAAACTGAAACACAATGTATGACGTCAGAGCGTAACGGACGAAGCACACGAAACCGCAAGCTTTACGTTAAGAAAAAAACATAAAAAAGGACTTAAGGTTTCAGTTAGTGAATACGCAACAGAAAGGGGTAACGTCCCATTTGGCRGTGATGGTTAAAAACGTCCGCAAGGAAACAGCAAGAAAAACGTCAGAGAACGTCACCATCAACTATATCATGTCGTGCACGAAAACGTAGCACTTGACGCTTATAGCTTCAAGATACGCAACACAACATCAACTTAGGAGTTCCGCAACGACGCCCAATAGTGATAAAATATTCAGTAAAAACGACGTACGATGATACAAGAAAACGTGAAGCTTGCTTGTCTCTAACGTTACCACTCCACTGAAACGTTTGGGGAAAAATACGAATGAARCAGTAAAGAAAAACGCCACGCAAAGCAATGCAAATGCACGCAAACGTAAGGCCTTGACATGACTAAAAACTGAAAGGCTACGGTAAATTCTTCCACGGAAAGACGAAAAGAGGCATTTTGCATGAAACGGTCACATGGTACTAAATCCGCCATACTTCAGGATGGCAAAAGAATGTCAACAACCTCAAAAACAAAAGGAACGCAGCCCGTCAAACTTGACTTTTCTTTGTTTTGAACATCCCAAGTAGTATTATGCCATCCAGCATGGTGGATTTAGTGCCATGTGACCGGTCCATGTGACTGTTTCATGCAAAAGGCATAATCTTAAATTAAATATTTCTGAACATGGAAGTATATCCTTAAAATAAACAAGTAGCGACATACTACATAAAAGCATTAAAGAAAACAACATTCCATGTGAAAATTTAYTCAGTTAAGAATAAGTAGCAAAATCCATCACGTATATAAACAGCTTTCAAGATAAAACTTAACCCCTGAACAAATATATCTTGTAGTCCCAAGGGRCCAGCCACMKTCCCAAKCTCCCCACCAACCTYACGAACTTACGGATCTTTTGGAGTTACAGAGCAAACACTATAAGGCGTGAAAWAGTATTAAAGTTTTTTCAGTAAARCCGTGAAACAGAAACACTAATTAMWAAARTGTGCAAAATAGTGCTAGTTTAACAAAAGAAAACAAAAGAATTAGCATAAATAGTACAAAATATTATCACTGTTTCACGCTTTTACTAAATGCACTCTGACCAAATAGTGCTAAAAAGCGTAATATAGTGTAGATTAGACAATATAATGCCTTTTATTAAAAGCGTGAAACATTAGAGTCATTTTCAWCCGTCTGTGAAACAATTACTACTAGTCAGTGTTTAATAGTAACYATTWGGGTGTAGTAGGCTACCAAAAGGCAAAATCAAAACCGTTTTTGCATAATTTGTTYGTCGCATGTCATAAGTTAAACTATTGGGAGCTAATAGGGGGTAATAGTATTYAATAGTACAATTCGTATTTCACAGACGGATGACTATGACTCTAATAATACTATTTTGTAGTATCTTCTGCTAATTCTTTTGTTTCCTTTTGTTCAACTAGCACTATTTTGTTTCACGCTTTTAATGAAAGCACTTAGAAACCAGAAATTCGCATAAATCAGTGCAATTTAGCACTATTTAATTAAGTTGTAGATGATTTTAATGCTTGCACTCTATATATGGAATCACTATAGAACTCTATATAAACCCTCTGGCAAGCAATTATTTTGGAAGTGAATCGCTAAAAAAGCTTCATTAGGAGTTGACAATATGAAATCAAAGCTGATAAGAGATAAGTGGAACGAACAAAGATGGAAAACATAATGTTTGATATTGATAACAGGTTTAGTTTAACGATCTCGAGGAGGTCAAGAGGAGACTTGTAAGCATGTTTTTACCATGTCGTTTCACGAGGAAGATTTCTTCCAGTTTGAGGAGTTATCTGGTTTTGTTTACGACTTCCAATCTCTCCTCAAATGCACTCAATGGATTTATAATTATTATCGGCTCGTTTGCGCACCCAGTGGGTCACGCAAACCTAATCTCTGATGTTTTTAACTTGAAGTGGTTCAGTTAAAACTACGATTCAATCTTTGAGGGCGCGCGTTGCGATAAGAGAGTGCAATTCATATATTTTTGATGCTGAGAGCTGTATGAAGTGAGATCGTGAAGACTGTCATGTATGAAGACGTTAAGCATAAGGAGTTTTCCCCCTTTTTGATCGATATTATCGAAATGGCAGCTATCAACTAGTCATAAAATAACAACTTATCTCGGGCTGTTTCATTCGGACGACAAGATGGCAATGACAACATATTTTTCACAGCATAATTGTAATATCATTAACCAAAAGAATAAAAATACGTGTACTTTTTATACAAAACTGACTTGGAAAAACATTTTTATTATCTTTGGAGGTTGTAAACCCAAAAATGTTGATCGATAACAACTGTTTTTTTTTGTTAAATGAAACCCAAAAAATATGAAAAAGCGAACATTCTTACAAGGGAATAAGTCATTATATGTACTACTAAGGCAGAATCTAGACAATTTCCCTACAACGATCATTTCACTCTTACATAATCAGAAATCCGCATCTGAATATGAAATCAGCTGAGGGCCATTCATGTGAATTTGTGATTTAAGATTCTTTGATTGGCCACAAAATGCTAGATGACAAGCATGTTTTCACTTTAACATTGAAAAGATATATATGAATATACGAGAATAATTCTTCCGGTTTGATCCACATAGTAAATCCATGCATTTCCTTGCTATGGAAGTTAAGTATCTCTTTTTTAAAAAGCTTTTTTAAAGTAGAAATTCTACTTTATCCTATGTAGTAAAGACAGTCCTTTTAAAGATAAAATCAATTTTTTTTTGCGCGATTTTAAAAACAACGAATTTCGGCGCGTTTTACCCACATAGGAAATGACTGAATTTTCTGACCATAGAAAGAGATTTTTCAGGATAATTTTCAAATATCAAGGAACGTTCGTCTAGCTTACCCTACATAGCAAATATGAATGAATCTTCTGACCATAGAAAGAGATTTTTCAGTTTACCCAACATAGCAAATATGGGTTTGAATACGAGAGAAAGATATCCAATAATATTCTGCATATGACAAATTCGTCCGGTTGACCCTACTTAGTAAATATATGTTTTCAAACCATCACTATTTGCCCAGTTAAGGTTGCATTGTAAATACGCGTTTTCTAATAAGGGAAAAATAGTCTTTAAGGATATTTCTGAACATGAAAATCTCTCCCGGGTCTATCCTGAGTAAAAAATTCGTGTTTTGAACGACAGAAGTACGTTTTCCAAGAACATTTCTGAACTTATTAAATAGCGTTTACGCAATAGTAACAAACATCATTTTTTTTCTTCAAGTATATTTCTGAATTGACGACATTGTGCGGTTTGACCCTATACAATAAACAAGATTCAATCAAGCGAGATTCTTTCCATGGTATTTCCGAATATGACAGCGCAGTATAAAAAAATAAATAAGAAGATTAATTTGAAAAATAAAGTAAAAACAGCTTTATGCGCATTATGATCAAAAGAATATTTTTCACTTCGCCGTGGTCATTCATGGAAAGAACCATTGAGTAAAAAAAAAAAATTTCATTAAAAAATGCACATTTTCAAAGAGGAAATTTTGTTTACAGTTATGTTTACAATACAGAGCAATTATAGTGATTATTTTGAACAACAAKAAAGATAATATAACATTTTTTTCAAACAAGCAATTTCAGTTTTTKTCMGTGGTAAAATTTCTTGTTTAACAGGTCAAAGCTCGTCGTTAAATGCACCTTAAGTCAATTGACATGGTGACATAACCAAAGAACCGGTAAGATTCTGTCTCAATGTCAATGCCAAAACGAGGAAGAGTTTTTTTCCGACAATGTTTATTAAAAGGCGCCCTGTGCATGACGCGCTACGGGCGAAGTAACAGCGATATTATTGAAGTAGTGTTTCCTGTTATTTATAAGAGAAAATTATTCACTTAAAGTTRACGAATCGAGCACTGAAACACTTGATGATCATGACAGAATTACAATTACATCGAAAAGCTTACAACAACGAATTTCCAAAAACAAAAGGTTAAGTTCATTATAATTATTTATTAAGATTATGGTCGCGGCAACAATGACTTGCTTTCGGAAATTCTCGAGCAGGAGTGACTTGTTTTCGGAAGAGCATTATTTTCTTCGATTCCTGTTTCATTTTAATTTTTTTTTGTTCATTTTGAAATATGTCACAATAATGTTTTCTAAATAATTTTGATTGAAACAAACCAGTTTCGGTAAATATTTATGACATATTGGATTTAACATTTAGTGGTTAATCAAATTCTACATGTCACTTAAATAAAACTTTAAACTTTCCATTACATTCGCTCATCCTATTCGCTCTCATTCATTTTTTAAATCTCATTCATTTTTTTAATCTCATTCATTTTTTTAATTCCACTTTGGAGTATCTCACTTTTATCATATGATCGTTGAATTTGTTTATAGATACGATCTCATTTGGTGATCAAAACGTTTCCCCAAAATTTTGCTTGCTTTTCGATCTTTTATACACCATCTTGCATCAAGGTTACCACATGAAAAGACAACTTTTGAATGACAGTGAAAAAAACCCGCACTAAATACGTAAGAACATCACCCTTTTGACTTTTTCTTACTTCTTATCCTTCACCCTCGAATACAATTTTTCAAGTTTTACAATTATGTGGAGCTTTCTTCTTAAGTATTTCCTCTTTTCTCAATTCAAAATCGATTAGAAATCGATAAGCATTTGGATTCYAGTCGGCGGTCACGACCGCGACTTTGTTTTTCAATAAGATGTAGAACTCCCGATAACCTCTGCTTAATGAAATACACAGGTTATTCTCATACCCATCGAACCCCCGACCTAGAGTTTATGGGTTTGTAATTGCAGTGAAACRCCAGACGAGGCCCTAGTGCGCGGGCTTCCACCATCAAAAACCGCCATCGATTTGCTCATGACACGTCCCGAGTTCTCTCTGCCATCACTGTTCATCATTGTCACGATTGGCATTCTTTTACGGCACGTAAGACAGTTGAGCAATCCTCTTCTGAATTTCTCGATAAAAATAAAATATATGACTGGGTTGAAAAGCGGATTGGCGTAGCCAAGGAATCGGACCACGAAGATCAAGATATTCAAGAAACACATGTTCTCCCGGTCGCTTGGCTCCCAGACGTGGTAGATCAGAAATACAAATGCGTTTAGCGGCATCCAACACACCGCAAACACGACGATCACAGTCAGAGCCATGAACACAACCCGCCGTGTTTTCTGGAATCGAATAACGCGCTCTTTCTTCGATTGAGACATYGCCATTGCGGAGCGGTCCTGTTGCCTCAGTTTCAGTAAAATCATCGTGTACATTATTATCAACACGAAGAATGGAAGAATGATGAAGAAAACAACTATCAGAGTGTACAATATTTTCTGGATTTTAAACTCTTCAACGGGATTTTCACTAAAGCGAGAAAGACAAAACGTTTGGTCATTGTGCTCTATTAAGTTGTAGCTGTATAAATTTGGAGTCAGGAAGAGGGCCGGCACGATCCATGTCAGCGCAATCAAGACTTTGTTAACACGCTTTAACGGAGCAATGCCTGCTCTTAACGGAAACATTACCGCAAAAAAACGATCCACGGTAATGATCACAAGGCTGAGAATGGACACTGATGGAGAAATATCAGCCACGAAGAAAAACAGCTTGCACAAAACAATTCCAAAATCCCCGTTCACAGTCCACATGCCGAGATCCATCGAGTTTGCCAAGTCGAAGATCATATGCGGAAGAGCAATGAGTGGAATAATGAGATCTGAAATGGCCATGTTCACCATGAGGTAGTTCACGGTGTTATGGAGTGATTTCTCACGGCAAACCACAACAATTGTCAAAACGTTCCCCAGAAAATCGAACACGGCGATGACTGAAAGCGCAAGAATCTTTGCAACGATCTCATGGCTGGTGATCACATGAGGAGCACATCCTTGTGAGGAATTTGAACTGTTCATCTTAACGGCTAGAATGATATTGAGCGTTGCGAGAGTTCCTATATTTTTTTTACGCCGTGCAATACGTCAAGTGTCAATATGAGCTAAAGTGTCTTACTGAGCTATGGTCGGTTGGCCTTATCGGCTGATGAGATCGAATGACGTATTACTCGTTAATTAGAAGATGGGGATGTATAATCCATGGCAGCGTCGTCTGTCACAAAACAAAAATAACTCAACAGATGAAACGCGTAGAGGAAACGAATACAATGGCGAACGAAAAAACAAAGAAATGGCACAGAAAAGCGCAGAAAAGGCRAAAGAAACACAAGGGATATTTCTAGAAAATAATATCGAAATTTGCCCACCTGCCTTTGCGCTTTTAAGAAAGTAAATAACGCGCTTGGATGTTAAAGTCTGAAAGAAACTAATAGCATCCGGGAAGCATTTTTTTTAGCGTACTAGTTAGGCTGTGGTGTCAAAAAGATTATTCAATGTTTTGGAGAGAATTAGAATTAAAACATTGAGAGTACCTGGCAGCAAAGAAGACAGCCATAAAGAAGCTAATGACATCTAGGTGGAAATTGCTTTTTCATAAAGCACTAGCACTGGTAGCTATAAGAGCATTTCCTTCTAAGTCTAGTGGAGATTTAGCATTACAAATTCCTATTAAATGGAGTCAGTTTTAACGAGAGTTTTCAGGAGGCACCTGAGGCCTTGGGAATCAAACCGCAGTGCAAATACCATTATTGACTATAATTACCGGTCACAAAAGCAACACATCTCAATAAAACCCTAAAGGCATCTTCTGAACCAGGTCTTGTTTGAACAATAGCGACAAAACGAACTAATTGTACACATAACACGTGGCTGCCACGCCCTTTTTGATCTTTCGCTCAAAGATTGCTTCAAGTGCTTTATTCGGAATTTATATGCAATAGAATTTCGTCCAACGTTTCGAAAGGGCGTGTCAACACGTGTATAATAATCTATTGKAATCGTTACAGAACAATATTTAGGCTGAAGCTTTTCCATAGATTTTATCCAGTGGTTTGAGCCGAAGGGCGTGGCCACCACGTGTATTGTCTATAAAGGCTCAGTTTTATCGCTGCTATACAAACAGGACGGATGARTTGAAAGGATTTCTTCAGGGTTATATTTAGATAGGTTGTTTACAACTCGTCATTGAAGCACTTTAAGATCAATGTTTCACAAGTGAACAACATTGACTCATATCAGAGATATCACGCTCTATTCGRAGACGTGACTGTATATCACACACAGATATTTTAGATAGCTACAAAACGAGTCGAAAGTTGTTTACGCGGCATTGCACGTGCGCATAGTACTTTATCAAACATTTAGCGGTTAATAAATATTAAACTTATTCCGGTGTTACACACGCTTTTCCAGCAGTTGTCCTTTAATGCAATACTCAGTCATCTTTAAATTGTACGTGTTCAAACAGTCCTTCCAAATACGATAAATTCAGGAACAAAGATGTCATTTTAAGTGTCATTTCAAGAGGTTTYTTACGCACAATTGTGACAAAACTCGGTTAAGCTGACGGACACGTGTCGCTACGCCCCTCAATGTACCGTCAAAAATGTCATGTCATTTCTAAAGCTCCACTCAGTAGATTTGACTGGAGAAATCAGTGTTTTTCTTTGTACAAATAAAGTGTTTAGTAAATTAAGTAAACGAATATAGGGTTCTATACTGTTGAGCTTATCATCAGAACCAAAAGTTTAGAAAAAAAACATCGATTTGTCAGTTTCAGCTGTTTTTTATCAGCTGTTTTTTTTTTAAATAATGATATCGAATACAAGAATAGAATGATTGCTTAAAAATGGGATAAAAAACGAAAATTGAAAATCGGAGGTGCATTTGTTGCGAAAATACAGAATCCGTAGGRAATGAACAAAAATGGGACAAACATAGCAATAAAGCTACACAAAACAAGAAAACGTTCAGAGATATTATGGCTTCAAACCAGAATATGTAGAAAGCGAAAAAAATAGACAAAATAACAAAACGAAACGAAACGCAACAAAAATAAAAAGAAAGAAACGAAACGCAACAAAACAAAACAAAACAAACAAACAAAAAAAAACAATAAAATATTGCGAATTAGACGTGCATGTTGAAAAACACACTCAGAATCTGTAGAGGATGAATCGATGATAAATATCGAGGAAAACCAAAAGAATGGAAAAAAGCAAAACAACATTATATGTCATTATTATTGACCAAACTGACAACAACACTATCAACAGCAACAACAACAAAATGAACAATAACAACAACAGCAGCAGCAGCAACAGTAAATTATGGCAGTAAGCACTTGATAATAGATAATTACAAATGCCTAGCACTAGTACTTTCTGAAAAAATATTGGTGATGATATCACATAATTTTTGATCTTTTTATATACTTTAAATATGAGCAAAAAAGATCATAAWTTCTGCCTATTGCTGTAACAATATTTTTCAATATTTACATACACCTACTTGCAGAAACGTTGTCATAGAAAATAGGACATTCGAATTTAGTAAAAAGGAATAAATTAAAACAAAACAAAAGAAAGCGTTCAGCCTCAGTGATCTTCTTTTGYCTTTTTAATTTATTTCTTTTTCCTAAAATACAAATTCYTATTTTTTATGACAACGTTTTCGCAAGTAGGTGTATATAGAACATTATTTTTTTACTTTAACATWTAATCAACTATTTTTAATATTTTTAGATCAGTTTTTATTTTTCTGCGTGACTGAATGCTWGGGGGGATATTTTCATGAAAAACAAATAAGATTAAAATTTGTCGAATCTCCCCAAAAGCGATAATATTTCGTACAACAGCTCTATCATAATTTCAATGCCAGTGATACAATCGTTCTATTTGTTTTACCACTATACCAGGATGTGATCATAATCTCACCATTCACCTTTATCGATAGTTTCTACCTCAAGGGAAGAACGACCAAATGCTCAAAAAAAGTACTTAAAACTTAAAAAGCCCTTCAAGGAAATTAAACATGAAGAAAAGGCCTCAAGCKTTTATTAGCACTGCAAATTAAAGCTTCMAAAATAGTTCATTTAGGCGAATATAGACATTTAGGCGCCCACTTCAGTTGGGTTTCAAACTTCCGTGAAACGCTCAGTGTATGTGAGTTTCAGTTGGGTTTCAAACTTCCGTGAAACACTTAGTGAATCTGTGTTTCAGGTGGGTCTCAAACKTCCGTGAAACGAAGTGTATGTGATACATATTAATTTTTCTATGTGTGTGTTCTCAAAGGTTATAAACTTAACAAACAGTCTCCTTCAAAGTCTCCTGTACCATTGAGAAAAGCACCATGCATTGGTATCGAGTCGAGACAACCAATGAGCAGATATCTATAAATAGCCTTATGTGTGGACAAAGGTAGCTATCATTGCAAGCCCACCCGTTCTCTTACTTCGATCCAAATGCGCGGCTAACTTTCAAAGATGGCGCAGGGAAATGACGTAAACTCTGAMAGTAATACTCCAGTTTCGAGATCTTGTTTGTGCAGTCTTAACCTCTAAAGCTTGTAATATATTCTTCAATTCAACAGAGAACCTATTGTAAAGTAAACTTGTGTACAAAGAAGACAATAAAAAACATGCTTGATTGAATCTAAGCTTGCACAAAAAAAATTCAAAACTGGACTATTAAAAGCATAGCTTTCTGGGTTTTTAGTTTTTATTTCACCCCTTCTCATTGACTGAGTAATAAACAAGAACTCATTATCTTCAACTCATCTCTATACAAACGAACCACTAGCCCCAAAGTCAGCGTGTTTTAATCTCCAAAAGGGTGCATATGTGTTTTGCTTCATAAAGAACACGTATCTATAGGATATTAACTTTGACTTCTGCTGAAAGAATCAGCAGATCTATTTCTATGGTTAAAAGCACTTCAAAGGCATTATTTAATTAACTTAATCTTTAATCCATACTGATATATTGCTCACGGGTATTCGTAGATAGCTTTTCACTTTGCATTGCGAAACTCCCTATTAAGATTCTACGCAATTCGTACATTTTATATCTCCAAGTCAGGCAGTTTGTAACTTTTGTAAAATTGTACTTCACCACAGGTAGCCCAGCATTGCCGCGGGTTCACAGTATTAAAGACCCATGAACATCCAAGATCCTTTGCGACCGTTTCTTATGTTTTTACAAATAATCTGTGGTTGAAAGCTGTTTTCTGATTGGTCCATAATCAATGATGGCGAATTTTCGTACGTGAGAAAATCGTGTAAAGGTTCTTTTGCGCAAGTAAGACTCTAATTGAGTCTGCATAGTCGCTTTCACTTCTTACAAGTGATAGCCACAAAAAATTTTTTTTAATGGTCCACCAGCATCACTTTTGAGCTTTTACTCACTTTTTAAAATAAAAATACATCGTAATATACGCAAAACTTACTCTTTATTATCCCTTYATGCTATATGAATGGAGATACTGTAAGATTCGACCTTTAAATAGATGGATGGAAATGGATTGCGAATGGATATTCGAAGTCACCTCATTTCCCATATATGAAAAATCTAAAACACGACCGCATTGAATGCTGGTGGACCATGTTCCTTTAGTGTAAAAGAAAATGTTTGCCCAACAGCGTTCATGTAATTTGGGGTTCTGATACCGGGGAGTTTAGTTACAGGAACTAGAATTGGAGTACTTACTATGCGACGCCCACATCGAAGCACGTGTATTGAGTTGTAAGTGTAAAAAGGTGGAAATGCAACGACAAGGAGCCATTGAGACGATCAAGACAGGATGTAAACAATCACGTTTTTTTAAATGTAATACTCATGGCAGCCGTTTGACGGCTTTGTATACGAATAGTTTAGTATAGAGGAGGAAAAGCCAAGGCAGCCGTTTGACTTTGTATACGAATAGTTTAGTATAGAGGAGGAAAAGTCAAGGCAGCCGTTTGACTTTGTATACGAATAGTTTAGTATACAGGAGGAAAAAGCAACGATAAACAATCACGTTTTGAATATAATTTTAAAGGGCCTTAAAGGCAGCATTTTGGTTGTAAATATGGCTCGTTCCGAACAGGTTGTCGAAAAAAAGATAAGAGATCTGGTTGGCTTTGCACCAAAGCAAAGTGAGAGGTTAACGACAACCACCGATCCCTTCTTCACATAGATTTTTCACCAAACAATGTTTTCCCAGTGGAACTGAAACTTTCCGAGCAACAAACACAAAATCGAATAGTTTTACTAAATTCATTAGCTTTTTCTGATGAAATTGTAAAAACAAACATAGATACATATAACACAAGGTAAGTTCCTACATATCGCAGCAATCGGTCTTTTGACGGAACATATATAGTGATGGAGCTAGTTTTGAAGGTCAGAATTATTTTAATTCATGTACAGGTTGTCAAAAAAGGGAGAAGAAACAAAAGAAAATTGACTTAGAAAAAAAGGGAACATAGAAAGCAAAAAAAAAAAAAAGTTTTATAGATGCAGAGTTTATGGAGTATTATAATTGTAAAAGTTGAGGAAGTAGCCAAATTAGAGGTTTATATGGCTTGCTGATTTCACCCTGAATAGAATTGTCAAAGTTACGTAAAGTGAAGTTAGTTGAAGTGGCAAGTAGAAAATGAACAAGAACAAGAGGAAGCAAAAGAAGAAGATGACGACAAGAACAGAAGAAAGGGAGAAAAAGAAGAAGAAAAACACAATAGGAAGAACAAGAAGAATAAATGAATAAAAAGAATAATAAAAAGAAGAAGAAGGAGAAGAAGAAGAAGAAGAAGAACAACAACAACAACAACAACAACAACAAGAACAACAAGAACAACAAGAACAAGAACAAGAACAAGAAGAACAAGAAGAACAAGAAGAACAAGAAGAACAAGAAGAACAAGAAGAACAAGAAGAACAAGAAGAACAAGAAGAACAAGAAGAACAAGAAGATTATAAAACAAGAACAAGAAACGAAAAGATGATTTAAAAAAAATATTGACTAGAGGATAAATTCGAACAAGAAGAACTGTGACAAGAACGTGAGGGGAGGAAGAATGAGAAGTGGAAAAAGAAGAAAAAGCAGACTAAACGAACTAGAAGACAAAACGCTTTACAAGAAAAGATAAAGCAAAAAATGAGGGAAGAGCTCGACATAGGATAAACTAAAGATAGATAAAATTGGCCTACAACGAGATAATAAAACTGAGAAATAAAGCCAAAAACACCGCAGTAATGAAATAATCTACTATCATCTAACTCTAATGACGCTCTTAAATTTGACTTTTAGACTAGTTACAAAAACAATATGCACTAATATCGAGATGGATTAGTCTTATACAAAGAATGTCGTATCAGTCGTCTGGAAAGGATATTACAAGAGGAATTCAATTATTTCATTATTATATTATCTGATATCTGTYGATATTATGGGCCTTTATCACAGCGAGATCACGACTGGCTATCTTTTTTCCATCAAGTACCACGGTCAAAATCAATTTAGGAAATGAAAATGGAATCAGTATAAGCTATTTACTTCCAAAGTAGGATACATTTTCTATAAGTGAAATAGTTCTTAGATGAAGGGTGCTAAAATAGAATTTCAGACTGACAGGTTTTAAATTTTTGGTTCTTATAATCGCTGGTTCACTGCACTGCACGCCCCGGGGGACCCCKGGGTAAACGTACCGGGGATTCTCGTCATAAATTTTCAAAAAGACCCCTAAAAGATCCCGGACGTCTCGAAAAAAGGGCGTGGCTGACTGTTTTTTAACCCGCAAGAGATTGCACAACAAATATTTTCAAATTAAAGCAGTTCCAATGATAAAAATGCAGAGGAAAATCAATATCGATGCGCTCTTTCTCTTCTTTATCGACACCCTAAGAGGTTTCAGAAAATGCAAATTTCTAGAAACTCCAAATTAGCACCCTAAAAGATTCCCAATCACGAATTTTTACCCCTAGGAGACCCGACGAGCCTCCCCGGTACTTTTACCCCGGAGTCCCTCCCCGGGACTACACGACCTAAATAACTGATATAACAGGGGCGGATTCTTAACCATTTTCCAACCAAATTGGTAGACTATCTGAAGTCTCAACAAATTTAGGTAGCTAATGTTTTGATCACCTTAAGTTACAACAAATTAATACAAACTCCGGAGGAAGTCGAAAAGGGAACTCTAATGTAATTATCTAAAAATATTTACCACAAGTTAGTATAATATATAAAATTGATTAATGTYCGAAGGAAACCTCTTATTAATAGTCCACTTTCGAAATGTCAAAACTAATTCTTAGCTTTTTTCCTTTTTTACATAGAATTTGGAGTAAAATGGATATTAAATATTTACCAAAACTTAGTGTAGAATTGCATGATTAATGTCAAAAGAAAACCCTTTTATTAATGGTTCACGCTTTGAAATGTGAAACAAAACACTTGTTTGTTTTTCTTCCTTTTTCATAGATTTTTGATAAAATGGATAAAAATTTTAATTAAATCAAACGAAATTTGTTAATAATAGGATGCATTTACTATATTTTTATTATATTAAACTAATAGACCTTAACACGCTCTAATTGCATAGTTTCCTTGTGTTTATTTAACTATCACACTTTGAAAGTCAAATTTTGTTTCACGGGTTTGAGTGAAGTAAAAACACCCGTGAAATTGATACAACACTAATACACCTTAGTACGCTCTAATTGCAATGTTTTCTTTTGTGTCTATTTGAATATCACACTTTGACAGTCAAATTTTGTTTCACGGGTTTAAGTGAAGTAAAAAAAATCTTAAAATTGATATGACACTAATACACCTTAGTACGCTCTAATTACATTGTTTTCTTTTGCGTCTATTTGACTTTCACACTTTGACAATTAAATTTTGTTTCGTGGGTTGAGAGTGCAGTCAAATCCGTGAAATAGATGTTACACTAATACACCTCAGTACGCTCTTTTGTGTCTATTTGACTTTCTATTTGACACGTCAACTTGCTTTTTTGTTTCACGGGTTGAGGTCTAGTTTGAGAGTGTTCTCCGGCAAGTACCCATACATTAGCAGTCGAGAACACGGGAATACAGAAATGAATACTGACTTACCCACACTACCTTTCGGTCGTGCACTACCTGTTCTCCCCTATAACAATTTTACAAAAAGCTGTATATCTACGATCTTCTAAAAACATAAAAATTTGATGACATCCCATCGCTGTTCCACATTTTTTTGCGATCGAAAAAAAAGTCATATAAGATTCTGTATAAAAAATCTAACTCTTGTAAATACCTAGAACAAATAATGGGAGTGGAAAGGCTTCCTTCTAATGAAATTTCTAGATCATATCTCAAAGAATCAACCAGCGTATCAAAATATACTTTAGGAAATGGAAAACGGAGCTGTWTTTTGACACAAGTGGACAGGATATATATCTGGTCGTGATAATAATCAGAGGTTTACAAATAAGGCTGAAAAAGTTGTAAAAAACAACATTAAAGTGAAGCTAATGTAAAAAAAAAACCCTGAATTTCTTTAATTTAGCAATGTATCTATTTTTAACAAAAATTGTTGTGGAAGCCTGCCCTTGGGAGACCTCGCTATTACGAACACCTCAATATTACGAACACCTCAATATTGCGGACACCTCCATATTGCGGACAAAAAAAATTTAAAAAAAACCTGACAGATAACAACAACCGTTCAAGAGATACGGGTTTTTGTTACAGCAGACATATCACATGATTCTATCCGCCAAAAAATATAAAGCGGCAAGTATTTTGTTAGGTTTCAGCCGATGAAGGAGCAGTATAAGTAAGTACAACGGAGTTCATGAAGATCATTATTGTCAATGTCCTAAACATCTCGCATTTTGTCAACAAAAACAGTCACATAACACATGAACTTGTAAGATGAAAATCTCAAATTGCCTTTCTAAGCCAAGAACTGAGTGATCTCTTTGTGGCTGGTACGTCGTAACGAGGATTAAGCCGCTACGCTACGACATTCAAGTTAGTCAGTGCCTATAGGGCATCCAGTGCGTCCAAGTCTAATTCGGATTGTCTTCGTGTATTTGCGTTTTCTTTCCGGAAGATTTTCGCTATTCTTCGTATAACTTCGTACATTTTCGTAGTATTTTTACACTTTGATATGACAGACTCTCGGTATTGCAGTCATTAAGTTAAGGTCCCCCTATCTATTCCTATGCAAAGAAACGAATTGTCATACCTGTATGGCCGTGATTGCATGCTTCATGTAACGGCTGCCATCCACAGTAATCTCGTGCGTTGACATCCGCGCCCTAACGAAAAGAACAAAGATGGTTCTTAGGTTAGTAAGCAATATGGTTCCCATCTTCAATGTGGAGCAATGCCATTTTTCGTAACAAAACACGATGGGAGGTGTAGTCCTCGCACTTTTTTTATGCCGGCTACAGCAGGCCTCTTCAGCTGTTTTTGCATTTTCTTTGCCAAAATAGAAGTAGTTTTGACGTTTCGTCAATGAAAACGTTAAAACGTCTGTTTGCGCAACTTCGTCCTCAGGGACTTCTCTACTCGAAAAATGGAGCGGTTGCTCGTGCGACACCATTTTGAATAAAGAGCGATCCGAGAGACCCTGAGGACGAAGTTGCTTTTTTTGACTATAAAAAGAGCGAAGACTACATCTCCCATGATGCTTCGGCGAGCAAAATGGCGTCGTTTACTATGACTGTGACAAGGTACAGAACAGAGTGAAGTACCTGATCTAGAAGTGCTCCCACCAAATGCGCATCGCCAGCAATGGCCGCTCGATGAAGAGGAGTTTCACCYTTTTCGTTGACTTTGGATAACTAAAAGAAAGATGAAAGTATCATTGAATAATGTAAAAAACGCCGCAGCAGAACGGAAAACCAGGACATAATCATTGACAAGCTTAAAAGGTGTCAACATAGTGTGTATTTCCTTTTAATGACACACTCTTATCAGCCAATCAGCGCGCGAGAATTTGCGCAAGTGTGGTATAATCAACAATTTTACCGCATTTAAATTAGCGACAATCATTCTTTTCTTTCAACTGAGTGCGCGCATGAGACGTGATGGTATCAGCGCAGTGTGCATGTCTTCTTATTGACACACTCTAATCAGCCAATCAGCGTGCGAGAATTTACACAAGTGTGTCAAAAAATTAATTGCATTTGATTCGATTTGCACCAAACTTCCAGATTCTGCTAATCTAAATGCGTTTTTTTTCTTTTGATGTGAGTTTCTTGTTCAATGTTAGCCCTTAGAATGAATCTAATTAACAATACTGTACATGTACCTTCGATCTCGCTGTTCTTTTTCTATTTCGAACTGCTGACTCGTCAGTATCGCTGTCGTTTTCCTCATCATCTGGTGATATACATCAATAGTTATTGTAATATTCATTTAGACTAATTGATTGATTGACTCACTAATGGTTGATTGTCAGATTGAGTGATTGTTTGAAATAGTTGCCGATTGATCGACTGAAAGATTGACTAATTGATTGAGAGATTGAATGACTGTTTGATTGGCTAATTGATTAACTTATTGATTGACTGACTGTCTGATTGATTGACTGATTGACAGAGTGATAGATACAGTGATAGTTTGATTGATTGATTCAACCTCGTTCCCAGGCCCTTATCCCTTTGCTTGGGGTCAGGGATAAGGGCCTGGGAATTAGGTTGTGATTGATTGACAGACAAATGACTGATGGTCAGACTAACTGATTGTTCAAAAAAGACACTGGTTGACTGATTGAAAGATTGATTGACTGATTGATTGATTGTCTGATTGATAGTTTACATCCCTGTGTTCTCTGTTAATTGGATTATCAACTGGCTGATCGGATGATTGACAGGTTGATACGTTGTACCTGACTCAGGGATTTTCATTTCTCTGTCAATAAGGACATTGTTATCTTCAAATTTCACACAATCCTCGGATTTGTCGGCTTCTTCTTCACTTTCTTCTTCATCATCACCTAATTCMGACTTCAAAGTGTCTATTTTCTTGACTGTTTCTTCATATAAATCCAGTTTATTGTATTTTTTCTGGGCATCAGCAAGACAAYGTTTGACTCGAATCTGAAAATTAAAAAGAAGCAAATAAAACATTTCAAATAAATTTGTTATCAAATGATTGTAATGTGTCTGAGATAGGCCTTTTGCATGAAATGGTCACATGGTATTAAATCCGCCATACTGGATGGCAAAAGAATGTCAGCAACCTCAAAAACAAAAGGAATGTAGCCTGTCAAACTTTTGTTTTGTTTTGAACATCCCAGTGCCTATTTTGCCAGCTAGTATGGTGGATTTATAACCATGTGCCTGTATCATGAAAAAGGCCTATTGCACTTACACATGGTGATTGCGTGTACTTCTTATTTTTTTAAATCTTATTTCTTACTTGTAATCGTATGCTGTTAGCCTTTTCTGCAAATTTGAGTGCAGAGAAGTATGCCTGTTCTACATCTTCATAATTGTAGTTGGCCTTCTCGTAAATCTCAGCTATGTTACACCAGGTATCACACATCTATATAATGAAACATACATTCTTAACAGAATATAAATTATATTAACAATAGCAAACAATCATGCATGTCCATGTGACTGTCACGAAGTCCCAAAGCAGCTTCATCTGGAGACTAAAACAAAATAAGTTTTTTGCCCTCTTGGGAACCCTGATATTGTTTTGCCTTCCATTCCCATGAACTTGTAAGGGATCTATTCCTTTATTTATTCATCCATTCATCGTCATTTAATTATTCATTCATTTGTCCATTTTCTATATTTGTAGTTGCCCCATCGCATAATTACGTCACACCAAAAAATTATATTATTTTAATGATAAGGATTATGGTCGCCAGAAGGGATCAGAGTGACTGCATATCAAATAAAATGGAGATTAGCTATCATAAATCAAAACTAGATACACTAAAGTTCTACACATGTGCTTTCAGAAAGAATATTAGTAGGTCCAAATTTTGATTCTTTCTTAGCATCTATCCAAAAATGTAAACATACTGTGACGTAATTATACCATAGGGCAATATATTTATCTATTTTATTTATCCTTACCCCTGTATAGTCACCATCAATGGTATTCAGTTCTTCCATGTAATAATCAACAGCTTTATTCAATTGTCCAAGATCGCTGTATGTCACGGCGACTGACACTAGTATATTTGATAACTTTTTGGAAGATTGTCCTATGGACCTTGCAAGATCAAGCTGTGAAAAGAGAAAAATTAAATGAACTTAACTTGATTATTTTATACACAACATATTTCAGGGCAACGTAACTGGGTCAAAAGAATGAATAGAAATTTTTGACTCAAATGTTTTTTCACTGACAACTGTCATTTTGGATAAGAATAACAAAACCGTTAAGTTTAATCTAGAAAGTTCATGCTTGTTTCTGTCACTGGTTCATCTGATTTAAGGGGAACATTATTGCCTGTTTACACCTGGCGATTAATACACAATTTAACGATTTTTGTAGTCATTTTGATCCTAGAGAGTAATGCTAAAGAATTAACTTGTAAACTGTTATCAAGCACGCTGAGATGAGATAGCAAACATCTCTTCGGAAGGATAGTACAAATCTATTACATTTTTAGAAAGCGCCTGAAAAATTGCATCAAAATGCGCTTTCCATTTGTCAGAACTGGCTGGCCAGACCCAGAGGAAATGCCATTATATATCATTCCCATTTAGTTAGGAAATTCAAATTTTCAAATTCTATCCATTATTCTACAGAAAACCTTGAAATGACTGAAAAAGCTGACAAAAAGCATTATATTCCTCTAAATATAGTGGACTGGCCAGCCAGTTCTGCCTAAATGGAAAGCACCCAAAAATCGCCAGTTTAAACATGCCTGAAGAAGTTGTATAGGTTCAAGGTATACCTACCTCTTTGTTGTAGTACTCCAGGGCATTTTTATAGAACTTCAAGTCAGAATATAAATCACCAAGTTGGTCAAGAACATTGACTTGTTCTGACTTTTGGCCTTCAGAAAGTTGGTTTAGTTTATTGATTAACTTTAAACCCTTGATAGCTGGAAAAAGAATAGCCATTAGTTTTTAAGATTGATAGACCTTAATGAACAAACGAATGAAAAAATGGATGCATGGATGCATGGATGCATGGATAAATAGATGCATAGAGGAGAATTAACCTGCAACAAGGCTTGGCTTTAGTCCATTCATCTCATCAGCCCTTGACTCTGCAATCTTATAAGCTTTCTTTAGTACTTTCCTGGCTGATGTAAACTCCTCCATTTTCAGGTATACCTAAAACACACAGTATGTGTATTACTTTTTTTTATTTTTTTTAACGACTTTATTGGGAATAGACTAATGACAATATGAACAACATGAAGAACAAATAAATAAATAAATAAATAAAGTCTATTGGCCCAAAGGGGGCAGCATGAACGAGACACGAGGTCCCATGCGAGGTGTTGCCCCTTACAAGACAAGTCTCTTATTTTGRTTCATTATTTGGTGTTAATAAATCAAAATACAGTACAGACAACATTTTAATAAATATCATTCCACTCATTAATTAACTTAGTTGCTATTTATTCTTTAATTCCAATTTCTCCATTGATTGATCATACATACAGTAACTTGAAAAAATATTGTTGCCTAATGCATTTAATATTGGATGTAACTAAAGGCAGCCAAATAACAAGAAACAAAAATGTCCAACTTGTCACACAACATCGCCACTAATCAGATTCTTGTTCTCCTACTTTTTCATCCTACTTTCAATAAAACTAGAAAAAAAAACCAACAATCTCMAACAAACTTGTTGTTTGTTATTCATTTATATAATCAGTGGTCAAATTGCCCTTATTCTTTGACAACAGCCTCACTTCAAAATCATTTTCAGTCAACTCTTGCTATTACTGACACCCTTAGGACAGTACTTTAGTATCTGCAGTAGCGAGAGTCTGTAATAATGTAAGTCACTTTCAGTCATTTCTTTGTATTTTTTGCCAGGGATTCAGTATTTCCTATTCGTAATATCGAGATGTTCATAATAGCGAGGTGTCCATAAGGTGAGAGTTGACTGTACTAGGAAAACTTACTTGTCCCAAACCAACTAAAACTTCAGCTTCCTCAAACTTTTGTCCATTTTTCCTTGTAACATGCAAAGCATGATTGAATTCATTAATGGCTTCTGTGTCAAGTCCTGCTCTTGTCAGTAAGCCKCCCAAATTGTAGTAACACTTGCACTCTGTATCAAGCAGGTTTTGACCTCTACATATTAAAATAATAAAATATTTTAACATTTGAGAACTTGTTAAGACCCAATTGCATTTGAGAAACTTTGCAAAAAATATCCATGATTTTAACTTCTTCAGGGCGTTAAAGTGCCTATGACTCCTGACAAAAAAATTCTGATTCTCTGTGAGCTGATACTATATAAAGTAAATAATTTAATGGTGAAATATTCCTGCATTTCAGTGTTGCATCTTTGAGTTATGAAGGTTTAATCTTACAATATGTTAATGAAAATGACGTCAAAGAAGGTTTCATTATTTAGATATATGAGCTTTGAAGGAGTTGCTTAAAAATGGTTTCATGGCATTAAATTTATTGTATGCAATGACTGTAGGGAATAGCCATATTCCCAGATGGCGCTCACGAAAACATTTCTGAGTGACTGTTTCAAAGTTTGTATATCTAATGAACCCTCCCTTAACGTCATTATCATTATCATATTGGAAGATTAAACCTTCAAAACTCAAAGACGCAACACTGAAATGCAGAAATAAAAATGATTTTCACCATTCAATTATTCACTGTATATAGAATCAGCTCACAGAGAATCAGACATTTTTTTTGTCAGGCGTCATAGGCACTTTAAGGACCTGCATGAGCCCTGTGACAATCATATGCAAGAATATTGTCAGAGCAACAAGAGTTTCTTTTCACCTTATAGTGTTCAAAGCTTGGTTGATAAATTTCCTTGCACTAGGCATGTCATTCTTACTATCATAAACCAATCCCAGGTTAAGGTATAATCTGGACCTCATCTCAATGATTTCTTTTTCAGGAACCAGCCCTGTAAGTTGATCACAAACTGACAACCCTTCAAGAAACCCCTTCTGTGCCTCTATCAAGCATTGTTCCTTTAGTTCTGCATCAAAAGTGCAGTCAGAATAAGAAAACCATGCACTGCCTATTGTTGCCCATGCACGCTGCTCTTCTACTAAATTGTTAGATGACTTTGCAAGCTAGAACAAACAAGCAAGGAAATGGTATTGAATAAAAATATTGAATGAAAAAAACAATCTAACAGTTAAGGCTTCAATCGTTGACAAAATGCCTTTGGACCGTAGTGTTCTTTTTGTACAATATCTATAATTATATTCATGTATCTCAGTATTTATCCCCCCATACCCAACTGGAGCAATGATGCTAGTGACCTTGGATGCTTTTATCACTTGGACAGTCACAAAACAATCACATTGCAAGCATTTCCCCACAACATTGCCTTTAGGGGGGTCAAGGGGGGTGCATTTCTTATGTAGTGATGCTAAAAATAGCAAAGTTTAAAATTGTGGTCCAAGGGTTTTGGCAACGATTGTTGTTGTTAATTCTTGGAAAAACGAAAAGCATCAAGTAACAATGTACCTTTAAATACAGCTTTTGATGATACAATGACTGTTTATGTTGACCAAGTGAACTTAAACATTCTCCAATCATCCTGTGTGCAACTGCACTTTCAACAACATTATTCTTGGCTTCATATATCTGTAAAGCATGATTGTGTTCTTTGATGGACTCTTCATAAAAGCCTAAAAATATATCATTTTATGATACGTAAGAATAGGACCACAATGCAACTTAGGTTCTTAAAGAATTGAGGAGATGTAGCTGCCTTTATTTTCTCCATCCACAGATTGTTACATTGTACAAAGACTGGATGTCAATTGAGGCTTGCCTTGTTTCCATCTMTTGTCCCTTAGCATATTGTAAATGTAAAATGTGCCTGTGCCTGAGTGTAACATTGGGCGAATCACAATAAACACCTAGAGTGCATCCCCTTTAGAGCGTGAAACAATTCTTTAAACTATTTAGCACATCTTATCAAATTCATTAATAATTCATAAGGCAAACACAATGAAAATCACTGCTGTGACCGCATCTTTACATGAGCAAGACATTCGTCCTGCTTTGCATACTACTTTAACTTCGATTTTCTCTTAAAAGTAATATTTTCTCTTGAATTTTTTAGCAAAAAATGCTTAAGCTTATGTCAGAATTTAGTTATCAGCTATGTTATGCACTAGCTATGAATTTGCAGAGACATGGACTAGAAATACTGTCATTATGTTTATGCCGYACGTTTTTTGACAACAAATAATTTATTACGAGCTTTAATTCAGTACAATTCTTCTAATATTGCTTCAAAATTGCAAAATTTAATACTTGCTTAATGCAACAGTATAAATTATGTATTTGTGAAATCAAGTGAGAGTAAGGCAGTAGTCGTTTTTCTTTGTATATCACACTAGCACCATCTCAATGTCAAATGCTCCAGCCCACAACATCCCAGTAGGGGAAGCTGTCTACATGTAAGTATTATTTAGGACACAGAAAAAGTCATGTTGTTTACCATGTTGTTTCAATAAATCTCCAGCTGCACTACATAGTTTTGCTTCTTCTTCCAGGTCACCTTTATCTTGTGCTCTTGCTTTTCTTTTCTCATATTCTGAAAGCATTAGCACCGTCAAAAAGCAACTATAAGCTTAAAACTAATACATGTACTTGCACAAGGACTTACATGTACAAAATATTATAATTCACAAGTTCAAATGCCTATGAACAATTATATTATACGTTGGAAAATACACAATACTACTTCAAAACACTGCAAAACTGCTTATTCTTACGTTTACGTGCTCTAAAAAATGTATTAGCTTCAGTTTGTATAATATTTTTTCCGTGACGCCTTGTTTGGATTCAAGATTGTCTCTTCACTTGAACGACAGATGCTGCATTTTAACATTAAAGCGCAATTTCACAATTAATTAAAGACAAATTACTTACGTTTCAACTCTYTTTTAAGGTTTCCATCCATTTAATTCAATGTATTTATAAAAATATTCCGAGAAAAAGACCAAAATGGCGCCTCAGTGTTCGAAAAATGGCGGGTCGAATTGGGCAAGTCCGCTGATCAGGAAATAAACATTTGGGTTCCCTGTGGAATAACATCTTAAATAAAATAAAATTAAAAAATAGACGTGAATCAATGGGAAATGAAATAGAGAGGAACGGGATAAAATTTAACTAAATGTATAGTCACATTTACATATATACCAATAATCCCGATTACTATCACTGCAATTTCTGGGGTTCCTGTGGTAGCCAGGAAAGCCAGGTAACGTAGCTGACAGGAAGTGCAAATTGCGTTCCAGAACGACCAGTGTTGGACTTCAGCTGTGATTCTGGTCATTCCTACTTCTTTAACGAACTGAATATCACTTTAATAGGACAAGGAATCGATGTAGCATCTTGAGAAAAGGTCAGTGTTTAAAGATTKTAGAAGCTGAACATTTTGATACAATGAAACTTTCAAATTTTGGCGGTCTTTCGATTCTGTGACTTCTGTACGTTTTGATCTCGATCCATGTGACTACTCTATTGTATTCTTAGTTWCTTTGTATTTGATGGTATTGCTTTAGCTACTGTTCATAGATTGAGCTTTTGTTATTAATGAAATTCGAGTTACACTCTCYGTGCTCAAGTAAAAGAATGCTATGGACCGGTATCCAAAGTTTGAATGAAATTTGCCTAAACGGACCTAAACTCTGGCCAAATACAGTTTGTTGGTACCCATTTTACTTCTCTCTTTTAATCTGATTTTTTAAATAAAAAAACACCGACGGTTTAATTTACATTGCACATTATTTCACATTTTCGACAAAAAATTCCAACGACAAAGTTGCCTTTCACGTGCGCGTGTTAAATATGAAAAATATGTCAACTATGTCATTGACTTTCCAAACTCGTTGCAATTTTTGTTCGGTAAAAAACAATTTACACCAGGTCGTCACATTCTAGCATTTGGAGACTAGTATATTGATTTGTTTTTGTGTGTTGTATGTGTTCAAAATTCCCTTTTTCAATTGAAACATTACAATGCGATTGACCGTTTTACAATTTTTGAAGGTGTAAAAATCCGGAAGCTCAAAAGCGCGCGCTTTAGAAGTGTGAAAGGTACCCACCGCCCATGAAGCTCCTTGGGACATAAAAATACGAGGTTGAAGTTTRGGAATTCTACCCAATATTCCACCTATTTGTTTTAAAACAACACTTTCGCAAGTTAAGATGAATTTGAGTAACTTTTGTAATGGTTTTTGATGCTCATCCTCAAACTCATTGAAAATGCGCTACATGACTTTGACTGACAGGTCAAAAAACATCAGACTGGTTTTCAAGTTGRTTGGTAATAAATAGATTTTTTTCAACTCGAAGTTGARGAATTCTCCCTATTATTTCGTCTATTTTCGTTTTAAAGGAACACATTCTAATGTTGAGAAACGGTTCTGGCTTAGTTGAGATGAATTTGAGTGACTTTWTTAATGTTTTTTAAATGCTCATCCTAAAACTCATTGAAAATGCGCTTGTTTGTTGTGAAAACATGACTTTGAGTGACAGGTCAAAAAAACATCGAACTGGCTTTCAAGTTGGTTGGGGATAAATAGATTTTTTTTAAGTCGAAGTTGAGGAATAATCCCTATTATTTCGCCAATTTTCGTTTTAAAGGAACACATTCTTATTTTACGAGGCGTTTCTGGATGAGTTGAGATGAATTTGAGTGACTTTTTTAATGTTTTTTTAATGCTCATCCTCAAACTCATTGAAGATGCGCGTGTGTAGGATTTTTTTTCTTCTTGTATGAAACATTTTTTTTGGTCTTAGGGTTGTGCAAGATTTGTTTGAGGTCCATATTTTGTGCACGATTTTTATTCTTGGTTAAGATGGATTGCAGGAAATTTTTTTTCAAAATCATCCACCCCCGCCCCCGTCAAAAGTTAAATGGACTGTCCCTAAATAGGTAGGTTATTTTCGATGAATTCGGCCCAAAACTGCTCGAGACAGACCTAGGGCACAGGAAGCCCGAAGCTGCAAAAGTGACTAGACATTTAGCAGAATACTTGATGAGCTCATTTAGATTGACATCTTTATTCCGTATTATTACTTTGTAGAAATCTGTTTTATCTGTTAAATGTAGTCACGTACTTGATATAAAAATAGCCGTTCGGTACTTGTGTCAAGTGTTTACGGATTATAAGTGAATCGTGTCGGGGAAATGGAGGTAAAGATTGTTGAATATACCAATTGAGATACTCTATCTGTTTGTTAGACTGCTGAGCTGCTGTGCTTTTTAAACTACATTACACTTGAATGCCTCGTCGAAATATAATGGCAGCTTAACGGCAACGTATCTCTCCACAAGTCGATTCGACATACGCCTCAGCTTTATAAAAGTTAAGAAAATGTAAATCTTTCCATTCTTTCACTTATTACTTTTCTTTGTCGCTGAACTTTCCGTGTGAACTAATACACTTTGTCCAATTGTTCGATCGTCCATCGGGAACTTCGTTATTARTGATTGGGATACCTGTGTTGATGTGATATCCTGAAGGACCGACTAYGTCACGACAGACTAGTCCCTCATCATAAAATATTGGTAGGGAAATGGGATGATGTAATTGCCTCACATGATCTTGATCACGTGCAAAGCAAACAGAGCTGTATAAATTGTAGTTGTTCATTGTACAAYATTTGTATTGCCTTCGGACACTGTCACATCCGCCAAGGACAGGATCTATCATTGGATCCTGGCTTCAGCCAATGACTAGAACAATAGCAACGTTTTGTGTGTTTAACTATGGGGGAACTGAAGGCTAGTTTACAAATAGTAGTAGGCGCTATTTTGATTTGTTTTCTTTATACTTTTAGCAGCGAATTCAGCTTATATAAGACCCCGTTTTTGTTTTCWCATCTGCTGTATGGAATTGCAAGCATAGAAGTCTTGATCGCATCGGTTCGTACCTGACTTTAGTGCCGTCGTTGAGATATGTTTTCACTTGGTTGTAACACTGCATGGCAATYAAACGGCTTCAAAATTAACTCAGAAAAAAMCCCACACACATTAGTGCGACCTTGTCTAGTCCTAAATCTGTTTATTCTTCAGTGATTTAATATCAATTATTTTTCAAATCCTCTGAAGAATAAATATTGTTGACCTAAGCAATCGACAGAGCGCAAACAAAATGACAAAGACACACTGGGTAGTAATATATTTGATGGCTTATGCGCGTGCGCGTCCTTCAGTTGCTATGATACCTCGATACTGGCTCAAGCGGCAAGATATCTCACAAATTATAAACAACACGCCGGGATGACAAAATAAACTTAGAGAAGAGTACTTCATGAAAATGTTTTGCAGATAGAATTTCCTTTTCGAMTATTATGAAAGCCGAAAGGCAATGGATTTCCGTTTCAACTTGAAATATTTTTTTCTCATTTTAAAGTTTCTTTTGTTTACTTCATTTCCACATAAATTAATTTATTCACGCTTTTAAGAGGCAGGAAAAGARGAATTTCWGCGRCAAATGAGAAAGAGTCACTGACTATTTTGTCTTCAAACCGAAATGAACAAAAGAAAACTTTCTTCCCAATTATCAATTTCCGATTTTCAAATGTTTTTCTCTTTTTTTACACCCACTCAATCATGCATCACATAGTGTAAGTAATAAAACGAAGTTGATTTKAAAACACCATGCCCACCTAAATGATATCTTTTCTGTGTTTTTAAACGAGAAATGACGCACTGAATGCATGCGAACGGACTTGGCAATTTGGTTTAATCTTTCCACTATCTCCCTCTTCAGTAAACAAAAACACTTTATGAAATAATGTTTACGCCGAAAAAAAGCACATTGATTGAGATGTGTTAGAACAAATTTTCTATATATATAACTGTCAGTTAAAAACAACAACGTGACTGACGTTTATAGACTAATATAATAGAGAATGTTGCTTAGGACTATATTTCGTCGAATGAAGTTGTTTATATAATAGTGAAAAGCGATAAACGAAATGACTACAGGTTTGTTTGTCATTGATTATCTGAAGAATTAAACGAAGATTAGGTTGTTTTTCTCGAAAATGAGCTTAATGTTCCATAGGCAATTATCTTGAACTAATCTTGACTGACCTGACGGGGTCCATTTATTGGCTTCAGATCTAGCGCGCGCGGCAGAGAAAAAGAGTCCGGCATTGAAAGTGCAATCATAAAATTTAGCCAACGGAGGATTTTTAGTGTTTTCATCGATATTTGTAAAATTAAAGTGCTGTATTATCACGTAGTCAATTTGTTTTTAAGTAACCTCAGTTGTTGGAGCATGTCATTATTTTACATGTATGGTTACGAGTCCAGTATGACGACATTGTTATTCTTGCCAGTGAAGATTTAATGCACCAGRTGCGAAAAAATCTATGAAGGAAGAAAATGGAAAAAAATGTTGCCTCAAAATAATTAAATCAATTGAATCAACAACGATTTAGAGAAGCATAGGAGTCAATTATATAACTTTTCTGAAGGCGGGAAGTTATTTATTTAAAAGCTGGTATACACATTTGCCGTAAAAGTGTTYTGATAGAAATGTGTCATTTACTTGTCTCATTGTCACATTGATAAATGATAGACCATGATAAACCAGTTTAAAAAAACATGAATGATTTTAAAGACATAGACAATGGCGGGACWTCTAATTTCTTTTCAACTCTCGGAACTCTTAAGCAGAATATATACCAAAAAAATAGATACGAAAACAAATTTCAATTGCAATGCCATGACAATTTGTCCTTTTTTCTGCCTTAGAAACGTTCTTATCAAGTTCTTATTAAGTTAAGGTTACCAGACCACTTTCCGTTTGAATAGAAAAATAGGTTTGAGTTTCATGTCTGGAKGTTTAAGATGAATCCTAGACAATTTCAAGTGGCATTTTTCAGCTAAGGATTCCTTGCCAATTACAGGTGTAGGYCCTKYGCGATTGGTTCTTRCTATACYCAGTATAGAAAASKGATGCTATTTCGAMAATGATTTAGTTATTGAATTCATATCAGTAGCAATCAGGCTTCATTTTCACAGAGAAATAAGGGTTTTMATTCTGAAAATTTAAAAAAATTGCSTTTGGAAGCTGATAAGAGTGTCTGACAATTTCGAGTGTCTTTTCATTTACGGATTCCACGACAGGTACAAGTGATAGCAGACCGGTCCGCGCGCTTCGCTCGCCATGCAGTCKYTCRAWGCAAGTCATTTCTGMAWTCGAGTTAATGTATTTAGCTTATTTTAACACGAATAAGTAAGTTGTTTATCAGTAATAAGTCTTCTGAACAGCTGGTAGAGGACAGTTGATTAGCTGGACGTGCGCGCAATAGGACAAATATTCACACCGGGACTATTGTGCATGTCGTAAAACAGCATGCTGTAAGCAAAAGATGCCTTCG